AAAAAATGCGGCGATTGAGAATTTGAATCCGCGCAGGCCAAAGAACACTGATTCGAGGAACCGTTGTCGCCAACGTTAACAACACAGGTGCAAGAACCAATGGTAGAAGGAGAATAGAACGATCAGAAGACCCAACCTAAACAACTGCTATCATCATAACTTATAATAACGGGCTAAGGGTTGTTTACGTGTTTTTGTGTGTGTGTGTGTGTGTCTGTCCGTTACGAAATTCGTAGAGCGAATTCCAGCCAACCTCTTGAGCCCAAATTTTGCACGGTGCATGCTAGCAGCATGAAAGTCCGCTATGCAAAAGCACGAGCGGATCCGTTGTCTGGATCCCTCAAAAACTGCGCTGCAAACGGATCCACTTGGCTTCTGAACAGCAAAATTGGGCCTGAACCACCACTTTTTGCAAAGTCATGGATATGATTAACAAGCTAATGTGCAAGCCATGGACTTTAGCCCAAAAAATTAAACTAAAGTTGATTACTTTACAAAAATGGCGCCAAGGAAAATCAGTTGCGTAAATGTTCAATTTGCCAAGATTTTACCTAATCATTTGGGAAGATTTTTGCACAGAGATGTAGCCCACGGTGATCATCGTCATTATAGCGACTATTAAACCATAAAAAGTCCAAAAATCGGTTCAAATTTGCATTTATCCTTCTCGGAAAAGTTTCATCCACGCGAAAATACCGATCTCACACAAAAAAGCTCTCGGAATGAGTAATTGTTTACAATTCATTCGTGATAGCCTGCATAGCGCGGTAAGTTTCAATGTCACTATTATGCGGGAATGAGCAAGGCATATAGAAAGTAGGGCCAGTGCGAGCCTCTGCGAAGCAGAGGTGACGCACTGGTGACTTATAATAACGGGCTAAGGGTTGTTTACGTCTTTTGTCTGTGTGTATGTGTGTGTGTCTGTCCGTTACGAAATTCGTAGAGCGTGTTCCAGCCAATGTCCCGAGCCCAAATTTTGCACGGCGTATGCTACCAGCATCAAAGCCCACTATGCAAAAGCACGAGCGGATCCATTGAATGGATCCTTCAAAAATTGCGTTTCAGACGGATCCACTTAACTTCTGGCCAGCAAAACTATGCTGTAGCAGCACTTTTTGCAAAATCATGAGTACGTTTAATAAGCTAATGTGCAAACCATGGACTTTAGCACAGAAAAGTGAATAAAAGTTTATTACTTTACGAAGGTGGCGCCAAAAAGAATCGATTGCGTAAACTTTAATTTGCCAAGAGTTTACCTGATCATTTGTGAAAATTTTTGCACAGTGATGTGGCCCACGGTGATCACTGTCCTCAAGGCGACTACCAAGCCATGAAAAGTCCAAAAACCGTTTTAAATTTGCATTTGTTCTTCTGGGAAAAGTTTCATTCACGGGAAATTACCGATCTCACATGAAAAAGTCTTAGAAATGAGTAGTTGTTTACGAATCATTCATGATAGTCTGCATAGCGCGGTGAGTTTCAATGTTATTATTGTGGGAATGAGTAAGGCATACAGATAGTGAGGCCAGTGCGAGCGTCTGCGAAGCAGAGGTGGCGCACTGGTATGCAAATATTCCAGTACATTTATAGATCTTAACTTTTTGCGAAAAGAGGATGCGTTTTTACTAGAAATTATTTCTTGAGGTAAAAGGCTTAACCATCTTGTGGTTCGACAGAAATACGAGTTGAAAGTTTGCAAAAAGCATTTTTTACCTAGTTTCCTGTAGTGCAAATTAAACCCACCTGTACGCTCTCCACTGGGCCTAAAGATCCAGTATTTACTGGCTCGTAATTTAGTTTCTAGTTTTAGGATACGAAAGCAGAACACCAAGTCGTTCACATTACGTCTATACTTCAAACTATGCAGTTTCAAAACTGCAAGCCTAGCACCGTAGGACGGTAATGCACGAGGGTATTCAGGGTTAGGGAAGCATCTGTAGAAGACTATCCTTGTAAAAACTTTTTGAACTTTTTCGAGCTTCACCACATGCTTTTTTAAATAAGGACTCCAAACAGGTGAAGCATAATCCAAATGCGGTAAGACATATGTTTTGTATAAACGCACGAAAAGTCCAGGTTCATTACTGTGAATGCTACGTAGAAGCATAAACAGCGATGCCAGCGACTTGGTGACGACTGAAACATAGTGTGCAGTAAATTTGAGAGCATCATCAACAAAAACGCCTAAATCTTTCACGATGTTTCGGTACTCAAGCTCAGTACCATCACAGATATATGACCTGAGGTGAGTACTGGCGTCGCCTAAGTGCATAACTGAGCATTTTGAAAGATTTAAGGGCAGATCCCACATCTCAGACCACATATTCACTCTTTCTATGGAAGAAGAAAGGGCTTCGTAGGCTTCTTCTCTTTCCTCTTTTCCATAGCAAGCGTAAACTTTAAGATCATCCGCAAAAATCTGCACATGGATTTTCGGGTCGGTTTTGATGAACGAAGGCAGGTCGGCTGTATAAAGTAAAAACAAAAGGGGTGAGAGGATTCCTCCCTGTGTTTTTGATTCCAATAGCTCTCGTGAGTTTTTGAAACTCAGTCGTAGTCTAAGAAAAGATCAGTTGAGAAATTATCCTGTTCTATGGAAATTCACATCACCTCGTTTTTAGCTCAAAGAATGCTATAAAGACGCAGTTTTTAGTTTCCTGGGGTTTTTGTGATATTCTTCACTATAGTCACTTCATTCACATTCACCCCAATAGAGTAGTGGTCTTAACATCCGGGGCTTCGCCGCGAATGATTCTGTTATTTTTTGGTGAAGGTTGTGTTCTCTTATATCGCTCAAATGAAGGGTCACCAGAGCACATGGCTCTAAGTATCAAAGATTCATACAGGTTTATACTGTGATTCACAAGTACAAACTTGTTGCCCACATAGTCGAGCTTGTTATGGCAATGCAAAGCGGATCCGAGCAGGGCCAGACACAGATGGTTTGAAGCCAAAGTGAATTTTGTTTTAGGAGTAGAAGCAAAGGGAGTGTCGCAAAACCTGCTAAATATACATATGAGTGACCTCGAGATATGGTAACTATCAAATTGGTAGGTACATGCTATAAGCTCTTCCAAGACGAAGGCGGTCGCTTCGATTGCAACGCGGCTGTGACACGGCTGCGTCACAGCCGCGTCACAACCACGTTGCAATCGAAGCGACCGCCTTCGTCTTGGAAGAGCTTATACATGAATGACATGCTTGTGTACTTTCCCCAAGCGCGCCAAATTCAAAATGATGCTCACATGAACAAATGGCTTGTTTACAACGCACAGGTGACCGCATGACACCGACTTTGGGCTGTGTCATACAATATTACTCCAAACTACACTATTTAAAAAATTTCAGAAACTTTGTGTCCTTATACCCGTCGCCGAATTTGCAGGTTTTTAGACCATCGAGCATAAATATCGAAAGTACACATAAGTTTCGGACCTTATTGATTTGGGTCGCTCAAAAGTCTATCATATAGTGGAAAGAGCAAATCAAACCATTGGCTCTCCTCTTTTTCCGAGCAAATAGTGTAAACATACGAACTGATAGATATGGCGCTCAAATCACATGCCAGCCAAGACGTCCTTTAACAAGTGTTCTTTAAAGAATTGTTGTTGCTGTTATATTGTTGTTGTTGCAGATTGTTGTTGTTTTCTTACTAGTTCATGTGAGTGGGGACTTCGCAAAAATTTGCAAAATCAGGGGGAACTTCGCTTTCAAAAATCTACCACAACGCATGCCGGGCCCTGGTTCCAAGCCTCTTGCAGCGTTGGCTACATCCTTGCAACTTTTATAACTGCACTTCTCTCAATCAAGGCTGTATTTCAAGTTCTTTGTTTCATTCAATGGTTTAATGATGCAATCGAAATCGGAAGGGCGCAGATGTAGTTCACAAATTTGACATCGACTTGTGCAATACTAGTATTTTTGCAGTGACAATTGCAGTGATCGATAAGCGAACACGTAAAGCGGAAATGATCCTCTTGAAGAGACAAAAGACCACTTAATCACAACGAACATTCGAGATTGCCGGTGTTCCCGAAACGTTCTTTGCTGTTAGTCCTCGTATCGATTCCGAGTTGGCCGCCATTTCGTAGTTTTGACGGCCTACTAACGTGCAGCGTTGCTCATGTCATCCCCGTCTTTCAGCCATCCAATTTCATAAATTCTACTTCTTCTCTATCAGTCAGAGATCACACTTACATTTGCAACATTCTCCACGGCTGCAATTTCATTGGACGCTATTCCACGCACTATTACAACTCTTTTTCGAGGAACTTTCTCATAAAAAGAAACGGGCTTTTATCGTCCGACAATTTGAAAGGGAAATTTTTGCAAACCGATCAAAATAAGTGTGATGCAAATTAGGAAACAAGTTACAAGGGTGGCACATTTTCTTGGTTACCATAAACTACCGATTTTTCAATCATTTCTTATTATGGTATATCCAAAAAATGCGCCACATCGAAACATGATTTCTAGCTATTATGTTTTGATCGGTTTGCAGAGAATTCCTTCCTTATGGACGATGAACCATTTCCTTGACTTTAAGAAAAAAAAATTTTCTTAAAATGAAAGTGGTACGGGTTACTGCCCGAAACCTCCAAGCCCACTTATCTAAATCATATCATCTTGCGTCTAGGCCACTTTTTTATTCGAACGAGAGTGCAAAGTGCTGTCACAGTGCAAGCACAGTGAACAGAACTGTGCAACTACGGCATATATATGTATCGAAAATCTTTCGATGATTAGCACGATGATGGCTTCACTTTGCTACCTTTCCATTTATGCAATTCTTAGCTATTCAGTCCAACTTGAGATTTACAGTCGCGTAAGAGTGCTTATTCCATCACCCCTCCTCTCGATCCAAGAATTAGTCTCACTGAAATACGCGCTCTTGTCAGACGTTGTCAATTCGCAAACACTTTTTCTAACAAGCCAAATAGATAAGAGCTAATGAATTTGCTAGGTGGCGCAGAAAACAAACCCCAAAAAGGCGATTGATCATGGCGTCACTGTTTTGTCGTCTCGTCGCAAGATCATTCTCGGTATGACTTAGCACACTTTTCTTTCGCTTCCGTCACACAGACAGGGTGGGCCAGAGGTGCGATAGGGGGAGCCGGGTCCCCCAAAAGTGAAGGTGGTTTCAGCTACCACTGGCCGGCCAAAAGTGAAGGTGGTAGTGTCGGACACTCACCTCCCAAAAACGTCGACGGGGGGGGGGGGGGGAGGTGCGGGGGGAGGATAGAACGGACAAACGGAGCTATCTTTCTAGGTCTAACGTCGACCCAACGGCCCTCTTTAGGGCCACAGATACGATGAATATTAAAAATATCTATAAATTTTATTTATAAAAATTTAAAATAGACGTGTTTAGTAAATGGTGTATTTGGAAGTAGAAGTTTGTTGGACTGTACGGATTTTATTAAGCAAATTTTGTTATAACGTACAGCGAAGAAAGTAGATCGATCCAGGCAGTAACGGCCGAGAATCAGAATTTCGAATAAATAAATAGTGAAAAATCATGCAAAATTTCCACTGTTATAAATCTGTTGTTTGAAGATGTCAGCAGTTGCGACTTCATAGGTTTTAAAGAGTAAATGTTGCTCTATCAGCTAGTGAAGGAATCTGGTCGATTTAAGAGATAGTCGTTGAAAACCAGAGTTCTAAAACTTTACGCCATTTTTGCGTGTTTTTTGACTGTTGAGAGTTAAACTCTTATAAATCTTGAATGTGGAAGTGTATGATGTTGCGACTTCATAGGTTTTATAGAGTAAGGTTTGCCTTATCAGAATATGTCTTGTCCGTTCCGATCCATTGAAACACCTCCGAGATCCAGAGTCATGAAAAAGCAGGTAAAAAAGAGCTTTTTGAACTTCAACAGCTCATAACTTCTTCAGGATTGCACGAATCATGTTGCGACTTCATAGGTTAGATTCTTCTCGTCAAGAGCTTTCAGATGATATATAATATGTGGGGGTTTCGCGCCTCTTACGGCATATGCCCGGGGGGGAGACTTTTTAGGCCAAAGTCTCCCCCGGCAGCCTCCAGCCAATACATTAAAATGGGCGAGGGGGAGACTTTGGCCTAAAAAGTCTCCCCCCCCGGTCATAATTCGCAGGAGGCTCTAAACCCCCACATATTATATATCATCTGAAAGCCCTTGATGAGAGGAATCTAACCTATGAAGTCGCAACATGATTCATGCAGTTCTGAAGAAGTTATGAGCTGTTGAAGTTCAAAAAGCTCTTTTTTACCTGCTTTTTCATGACTCTGGATCTCGGAGGTGTTTCGATGGATCGGAACGGACAAGACATATTCTGATAAGGCAAACCTTACTCTATAAAACCTATGAAGTCGCAACATCATACACTTCCACATTCAAGATTTATAAGAGTTTAACTCTCAACAGTCAAAAAACACGCAAAAATGGCGTAAAGTTTTAGAACTCTGGTTTTCAACGACTATCTCTTAAATCGACCCGATTCCTTCACTAGCTGATAGAGCAACATCTACTCTTCAAAACCTATGAAGTCGCAACTGCTGACATTTTCAAACAACAGATTTATAACAGTGGAAATTTCGCATGATTTTTCACTATTTAAATATTCAAAATTCTGGTTCTCCGCCGTTACTGCCTGGATCGACCTACTTCCTTCGCTATACGTTATAACATAATTTGCTTAATAAAATCCGTATAGTTTTGCTAAGCTTTACTTCCAAATACACCATTTACTAAAAACCTTTATTTTAAATATATATGCCGCCGTATACATAAATATATGCTTTCAATAATCTTTTTTGCGTTTGTTTTGCTTATTTTCCTTCTTTGTCGTCCAGCGAAAAATTTTTTATTCCAAAAGTGAAGGTGGTCACCCCGTACCAGCTCAAAAGTGAAGGTAGGGGGAGACTTGGCTCCCCCTATCGCACCTCTGGGGTGGGCATCAACATTTTTTGTTTGTTGGAGTTCATTTGATGTCGTAACATAGTAACCTAAGACGCTGTTGTGTAAGACGCTTCTTCTACCTGACTGAATGAAATTTTTCCAATCACTTGCTCTATGGATCTTATAAGAAAGCAAAAAAGAAAATTCCATTGGAAAAAACACAGAGATGGTAGAATGTTATACAGCTTTACGCGGCTCCTCCTGAAGCGACAATGCGACAGCAGTAAATAAATGATTGTAGAGCAAAGTATTCTGTGTTGGGTATTACCGCGTTGTTGTAACGTGCACTACATTCTTTTTTGTTCACTATTGATTTTTGATTAGGTCAACTTCATTTTCTACTATCTGTCCCTCGTCCCCCCGTCCCTGAAGGCACTGTCCACCATGTAGAGAGAGGTCGATGAAGTTTTGATATGTACAGTAGTAGGGCTTCTAAGCAAGTGAACGCCCACCTCGCAGCAAAAGATGATATTCGAAGCGGAAAACCGCTTCAAAGATAGAAGCAGCTGTGCTCGCTCCACACATTAACGCGTGAGGTCTAAACTTCGATATTAAGCTCAAATTTGTCCAAAATTGTCGAAAGGCTGGTAAACATAACACTACGCGGATGTTCGACAATTTTGGACACTTTCGCGCTCAATTACGGACTAGTTTTTGAGACATCCACGTTGATAGGCGGAGCAATCACCATCGCCTCTACCTTCCGGGGCGATTTTTCCGCTTGGGAATTCATCTTTTGCAGCGGTGCTGGCCATTATTTGGGCCTCGGTATCATGCGGTATCGAATCTTGGGTAGACGGTGCTTTAAAGGCAGTGTCCGGGCAAGAACTCGATTTTGAGATTATGTGCTTAACCGGGCCTATTCGCTATGCTGAATCCGAAAATCCACATTGGAGAGCGCGAAAACGACGAAAAACGGCTCTAACACTGGAGGGAAATAGCAAGTGGGCGGGGTCTTCCCCACTGTGAATTCACGCTCCCAGCTTCGGGGGCGATCTTTTTGATTCCGGTTTCAAGTCATTCGTTTGCACTTGTTCGGTAGTGATGTCAGGGCGGTTAACGGATTCGAGAAAATTGCTCTGGAAGCTGGAAGCGTGAATTCACAGTGGGGAAGACCCCGCCCACTTGCTGATTTCCCTCCAGTGTTAGGGCCGTTTTTCGTCGTTTTCGCGCTCTCCAATGTGGATTTTCGGATTCAGCATAGCGAATAGGCCCGGGTAAGCACAAAATCTCAAAATCGAGTTTTTGCCCGGACACTGCCTTTAATGAGATGATTTTGATTTGTCTCTGCTGTCACATGCATAGCGCCCTACAATAGCTAATCCAATAATCAGTAGCAAACTTTGCATATGTCGCTGATTTTTAGATTTATGCTACAAAAATCTGCGTCTCAAACTGGTTAATTTGTGATTGTTAGTAACAACTGGGAAAGTTCTTGCTCATTATTGATTGAAAGTGATCGCTCAAGTTCACAAGCTCATTGAAGACGAGTATGGTTCAGTTGGACGTTTAGAACATGACGCGCAAGTTCTTCGTTGGTGGAAACTGGAAGATGAATGGCGACAAGAAGTCGATCGACGGGATCTGTACGTTCCTCAACCAAAGCGCAGGTATAAGCTAGTTGTAATTTCTCAGTTAACACGCCGAGAATGATCACTGCATATTTCCCCATGTCCTGAGGCCTCGCCTAAGCATATAAAGACTTTTTCGCGATTTGATACTGATTTTTGTCGTTTCTTTCTTGTTGTTGATAGAGTTACTGTAGCTTACGGAGTGCAATAATATATGAGTACTTTTTCTGCAGATAAAATCTGGCTGACTAAAGTATAGGTCTTTCCGAATGCAATATCCCGCCATCACAAACAGACTACACAAAAAATACGAGCACATGGGCGTCTAAGGTCCCGGTCAGACTTCGCTTAAAAGGAAAAGCGCTCAGAAGCGCCCATATTTCTCTAATCTCTCTTTATTTTCTCGTGTGAGGAGAGAAAGTAAAGAATGGTCAGAGAAATTTGGCGTTTTTTGAGCGCTTTTGAGTGATGTCTGGCTAGGGCCTAAGACTTTGTGTTTTCGTATAAAACAAAAGTGATTTTCGTCTTTGAAGTTTTTAAAAGTCTGTCTAAAAATAATGAATCTTTTATCGCAAAGCCTGCATTTTTAACATGGTAAAAGTTTTGCAAAAAGTTAGGACTGAAGCATAAAGGGTATTGCCGGAAGAAGGCGCACAACCTGGAGAACGCGGTTTTGTTGGCCATAGAGCGCACGAAGCGCAGGATTCGAAACTGTGAAGATACGCTCGCAGCTCGTTCGCTCCTGCTCAACTAATATTGCTTTTGCGCCTTCTTCCGGTAGTTATCTTTGGCCTATTGAATGCTTACATAGCATCATTGTTTCACTATGTATCCTGCTCCCAGATTTGTACGGAGGCGGAGTCGTACTAACTGAAAGCGTGGCGGTTTTAGACAGCGAGAGAGTACGAAGAATCATGCTTTAACATGGAGGTTCAACAGTTATTCGCATCATAAGGGAAGGTCTGCGTTCGCCTCTATGCGAATCTGGGAGTCGATCCCCAATATCCTTACCTTATACGAAGTTCTCTAGTTTTTGCAGCTTTCTTTAGATGTAATTCTTACAGGAGTTCCCGATGTCGATGTTATTGTTGCACCTCCAGCACCCTACCTCACCTATGTCAAAGATCAGATTAAGAACTCTGTGAAGGTTTCTGCCCAGAACTGCTACAAGGTGGGTAGAATGCATATTCGTGAAAGAATTTATTTTTTATCTCGCAAAGTATCCAGAAAGATGATTTAGTCTTTTTCTATCTTTGGCTTAGGTTCCCAAGGGCGCATTCACCGGCGAAATCTCGCCAGAAATGCTCAAGGACTTGGGTATTGAATGGGTGATCCTCGGCCACTCCGAAAGGCGTCATATTTTCGGTGAATCTGATCAGGTGAGTGTATGGTTGTCAGCTGGAATTTTTCTTCACCTTACTATCCAACTTTTCCTTTATGTATAGCACATCCATCCTTTTTATATACAATGCTTGTAGCTCATTGCCGAAAAGACCGTGCACGCCCTCGAAGCGAAGGTCAACGTCATTTTCTGCGTTGGGGAGAAGCTGGAGGAAAGGGAGGCGGGAAAGACGAAAGATGTGAGGTGCACATTCATTGTTTTTTTCGAATGTAAATACTCAGCTCTAGGTAAACTTCCGTCAAATGCAAGCTCTGGTCGACAAGAAAGTCGACTGGACGAACATAGTTATTGCTTATGAACCTGTGTGGGCTATAGGAACCGGTAAAACTGCCAGCCCTGAACAGGCGCAAGAGGTTGGTAATTTCATGGTTTGCCTTTTTTGAGGGAATAAGGTGAAGCCTGAAGGTGCTCTATACTTTTACCTTGTAATCGTTTCTTTTGACTTTCTTTAATCACGAGTGTCTTGTTTAGGTTCATCTCTGGATCAGAGAATTCCTGAAAGATAAGGTCTCCGCTGATGTGGCTCAGAACACTCGCATCATCTATGGAGGTTGGATTGAATAAGTTTTAGAAGTTTTGAATTTGGTTTATATTTTTTTCGACCAGTTTTTGACTTTCTCAATTTCGATCATTTCCAGCAATTCTTCGTGCAATATCGAAGCTCTTTCCGCGAGATTTTGAAAAATCACTTTTTCAGGGTCAGTGACAGCTGACAATTGTGTCGACCTAGGAAAGAAACCGGATATTGACGGCTTCCTCGTAGGAGGTGCATCTCTGAAACCCGATTTCATTAAGATCGTCAATGCTCGCAAGTAAGATTGTTGAAGGATTGCATAATATTCCCGGTTCTGAGCTTGCCTAGTGTTTTTATTGTTATCTCTGCCGAATTCATAGTTAATGGTGGCAGTTAGAGATGAGATGACTCTTAGAATTTGTTTTGTTATTGTATTAATGCATTATCGTGCATCCCACTAACTTAATAAACGATTTTTAAAAATATTTGTTTCCACACAAGGTACAATGGTCGTCTTACTAGTACTTGAAAGACAATCTTGTTTAATACCATTATGAATAAGTATTTGAAGGACAAAATGAGTACACAGTATATAAATGAGCCGTTGACGACAGGAAAGGTCAGTTCCGCTTTTTCTTGAAAGGTTATTTTACACTTTTTTGTTCAGTTTTTTCCTTGAATCCTACATCATCACTTACTTGATTTTCTGGTTATTAAATCCTGCAAGTGACTTGTTCAGTCCTGTGAGCAATCAAAATAGTTTTCCATGTTAGAAATCCAATCAACCAGCTTTGTAAGGTATCTCTTGTCCACGCTTCCTTTTAACCTCAAAGTGAGCTTGATGAGAATGTCGTTCAAAACTCTTCTGCTGGGACCTGGCCAATGCCCAAAAAATGCCACGCTTCTTCATTCAAAAAAATCGTTCTCATTCCTACCTTGTAGATGTTTTGATTGCACTGATGAATACTAATGTGCAGAATAATGTGATTTTCGAATCAATCATCTATACCAAAGCGAAGACAATTGTGTGATGAGGATCTGTGGTCCATACACCTCATGGAATGCGTTCTAATTGTTTTCTTGAAATTTCTGCCGTAGGCTTGGCTTATATTGGTCTGGTTTTTATCAGGTTGATAAGTCAATAGACATTCGGTTGAAGCACAAAAACTCGCTTTTATTCGAGGACTTTCAAACAAATGATAGATTACAACACAGTATGCATTGTGAGGTCATTTCGCCCGTTTACAGGATTTTGCTTTGGAAAAGTGTATATACTGCAGTTGTTCATTGCTTTCCGACTTAAAGGCAGCGTCCAGGCAAGTCTGGACACATGGGGATCTCACGTGGATAGTAATTTTGGGGCCCTAACTAAGCCACTGCCAAACCGGCAGCTCAAGTAGTGCTCTGACGGCTGAGATATTCCCCTCGAAACTGGACCCCGCGACCGTGTTTCGCATGGATTCATGGCGCAAAGCGTGGATCCTGGCGCGAAACTGCCATGAATCCATGCGTATACGTTCGCGGGGGCCAGTTTCGAGGGGGATATCTCAGCCATTAGAGCACTATATGAGCTGCCGCCTGGGCAGTGTTTTAGTTAGGGCTCCAAAAGTACTTTCCACGTAAAAGCCCCATAGGTCCAGAGCTGCATGGACGCTGCCTTTAAGAAATTTTAGCTATTTTTGAGCAACACCAGGAAGTCAAATAGTAGAAGTAGTGCTCGATGATGCATTTAAGCTCATGAATTTACTTTTAAGCATTGCTGTTAATTGGGAGTCAAGGGTAAATAGTCGGGTAAAGGCTGGTTGACGAAGACGGTCAATTTATTCTGCCATGCGGGCGCGTTTGAGTTTTATCATCAAGGCCTACGCCTGCACACGCCTCTTTGAATGGGCAGCCGCCTCCATCTGGAACTTATTTTTGTTTGCGTCACTTTCTCTGTACAGGAGAGCACATTTGTTTATGCTACTCAGGTGATTCTGCACACTACAGCTGGTGACATTGAGATTGAGCTATGGACGAAGGAATGCCCACTAGCTTGCCGGAATTTCATACAACTGTGCATGGAAAAATACTATAATGGCACGATTTTCCACAGATTGGTCAAAGGTAATCTTCAAATTTTGTTTTTTTTTTGTATGATACATTACATACGAGGACCCATCGTAACACTAAACATTTTTGAGAACTTTGACGTTTCAGATTACATCATACAAGGCGGTGATCCGACTGGAACCGGCCGCGGCGGTGAGAGCATCTACGGTAGACCGTTCAAGGTAAATCCTTTGTTTTATATATAGTGCTGATTTCTGACTTTACAACCAGTGCATCCTTACATCAAACCTTTAGGATGAGTTCCACCAGCGATTGCGGTTTAATCGCAGAGGGCTTGTTGGGATGGCGAATGCTGGTAAAGATGACAATGGTAGCCAGTTTTTCTTCACAGTTGGTAACGATGTTCGCGATTTGGACAAGAAGCACACTCTCTTTGGCAAGGTAGTTTATGGAGGACTAAATTCTTAGCCTTTATTGTCTCCATACTTGAGTTTGTTGAAAAAAAAATCTTTTTTCTGTCCACAAAGTAGTGACAGTTTCTTCTTTGTGCTGATGCTCGATTATAGATTGTGGGGAACACAGTCTTCAACATGTTGAAAATGACAGAATGTGGAGTAGATGATAATGAAAGACCCATGACCATCCATAAAATCACTGGAGCTGAGATATTGACCAATCCTTTTGACGACATCAAGCCGAGGTTTGCTTTTCATCAAGTCCATCATTTTCTTTGTAATTAGAATTCTAGAGAACGTGTCAAAGAGAAGAAAGAGAAGAAAAAAGAGAAGAAAACTGTTGAGACGAAAAAGCTCAATCTATTGTCGTTTGGTGATGAAGCGGAAGAGGATGAAATGGAAGTGGAACAAGTAAATCAGGTTAGTGACATCTTGATAAATTCTGGGAGTTCCAACGTTATTCATGCTTAGCAACTGAAAAAGAAGGGAAAGTCCGCTCACGATATACTTGCCGACGAAAAGCTCAGCAAGCAAGTGGCTGTAACTGCGGATGAGATGGCGGACTATGATCCAGTATGTTCATTAACATTTATTCTACAGACGTCATTATGCAATAAGTTATGTAGTTGAAATTTTGAGAATGAAGACGTCGAACGCGACACGACATCTGTATCAGCTGTGCGAGCAAAATTTGCAGCGAAGAGAAAGGTACGCTCTCTGACTATATCATCTTCAGTCACAACGCTAAATTTTTATCTTTCCTTCGCTAGACCCTGCCATACTTCTCCATTTAGATAGATGAAGTCGATGATGATGGAAAGGATGAAGATTTTGAGAGAATGATTGATGAGGAGCGGAAAAGACAAGAAAAAGAAAAGATGTAAGCGTTTCTCACTCTGTTTTTATTGTAAGAATCCCAGCATTTAGGGAAGCAATGCAAACGGAGCTGAAAGCTATGCAGAAAGAGTATGTAAAAGCCTTAAGAAAGCCTAAAGAGAAAGATGATAAAGAGGAGGGTGAGTTTTACAACTGACTGTTTGATAAACGCGAATGTTAATTTTACAGAAGAGCCGCAGACTGAAGGAATGCAAATGTATACTAGTCTGAAGCTAAAATTTAAATCAAAATCCAAAAACATCGTGAGGACAAAAGATCCGCATCGAGAAGAACAGGTGAGAACAACTATTCTTACAAAGCCTTCCTGGCGTTCATCCACGATCACTCTTCTCGCTAAAAATATAATAGAATATGATTTCCACATTCACGACGGTATTGCCTCTATTAGCAGTTTTGAAATGACCATGTAAGGGTCGCATTGCTTCCAATTGTCGATTACTGTAGAGACGCGGTAAAGGGCAAAATTCCAGATATATCGAAGGAAAACGGATTCTTTGCTTTACAAGCGCAGATCCGACAGATTGTGACCGGGATAGCTTCAAACTCCTGTTCATGAAATCAATCCTAATTCTTGAATCATACCTTGATTCACAACATCCTTCAATACTGGCAGTGGATTTTTTAGCTATTATCGCGATTTTACAAATTTTTGTCCTCTTTACCATGAGTGAGGTTGAAAAATCTAAAAAGCCAAGGTCTTTGGCAATAGTTGGAATTCCGTAGTAGTTAGCTCTGACTTACACAGCTTCCATGAGTTAACTTTGAAGTATGTGTGGCAAAGTATCTGAGAAAACCTGAGCAAGTACTGTAATGGCGAGAAACTCGATAAATTTTTCTGACGGGAAACACCGCAGAAGTTTTTCAGTCATTTCTAAAAAGCAATTCTTGGCAAGTTTCATAAGCAAGCTGTATGACTCGAAGTATTTTGGGCGGTCCAAAATAATGAATCTAGGTCAGTTTTAATTTAGACTATGAGCCTGCTGGAGCGATTTAAGAAGCGCTTGTCTGCATCAAATCAGTCTGCTATCTTACACGACAAGAAAATAGAGATCAAAGAAGATGAAGAAAAGAAGGAAGGTGAAGAGGAAGAAAAGAAGTTTGGCATAGATCTGGACGCAGAGGACATCGTGGGAAATGAATGGTAAGACAATCCGATTTGTGTGTTGGTGCATAAGGAGAGTTTTGCATATTATCTGTTCCATAGGATGGTCCACAAATTTGAAGCCGAAGACGAAGATCCAAAACTATCGAAAGCAAAGGATGCTAATTTGAGGGAAGAGAGTGAAGACTGGTACAGTATCACCGATCCCCGGAACAAGATGAATCAACGGAGACGGGGAGAAATCTGATTTTTTTGTTGCTGTGATTTGGGATTTGTTGATTGTTGTGATCTCTGCTATAAATTCTTTCTCCTCTGATCATTAGAGATCGAGTCTGAAACAGGCGTAATGTACGAACGAAGATACGGGAAAAAATTTAGTTTATCAGTTGTCACAAAAACATTTCGAACCAAGAAAGTTGACATTCACTTTGCTTATGGATGAGGTGGTTAATCAGCCTGCTGGGAACGAAATCAACACTTATCCTAGTCAAGATTGAAGTGATACTTGTTTTGTTAGAAAACAAATACCAGAAAGAACAGCAACGAAGGTGCGCCATCACTATATCTTTCAGAAAGTTTGCGCTCTTTGAGTCGCATCGCCATATCTCAAACCAGTAGGACTTATTCTGCAAGTCACCATACAACACACACACAACTCAGACACTCGCACCGGCCGGCGACCGTCCGACGACGGCCTTCCGGCCGGCGGCCGCTCTTTAAATCTGGGCGGAGCTAAATACCGGCCGGCGACAGCTCCAAAGAAATCTACCGGCTGGTGGCCGCTCGAACGGCCGCCAGCCGGTAACATTGCCATGTCGCGGGAAGTGAACGGGATTTGAAAGTTGCATGATTGAGCCGCGTAAGCAAACACTCTACTTCTCCTCGTTTACGATTAAGCGCCATTTTTCTACTTCATTCATGTCTTGTTTACGTAATTTATCGTTAGAAGAAGGTTTTGTATGCTTGTCACTCAAAAATACCTAGAATTCCGTAGTGATCTTACTCTATCTTTGCTAATACCGCCCTCTTTTTCGCAATCAAAAGAAAATCCCAATGACATCTGTAGCGCCTTTTTCAGATTTGTTGCTTGTCTTGTATGGCGATAAAGAAGTGACACGCAGAGCTGGAACATACTGACTGAGAGGTACAAGGCTTGAATTTCGCTCAGCTTCTTGACTAAACAAAAAAGAACGAATGGGCACGTTTCATAACCATCTTTTTCAGGAGACGAATGCGATATGCATGGTATTGAGATCTTGCGCTATGCAGCCAGCGCACCATTGCTTGTACTCGCTGTTTATCATCCTTACCCATGATGGAGCATATGACCTTTCGACTAACTCTTTATGTATCTCAGCACTATGCATTCATGGATTACGTGTGTACTACATGTCACACATTTCTATGGGAATTGGAATCTATCTAGTTTGTGTTCTGCTGCAAGACTACTGACCTTACGCCTAACTCCTAGTATAGACTCCACAAGACAGGTGCGTTCTTATCAAGAATTTGGAACTAGTCCTTGTGTGTTTCAGGGATAACAACGTTCATTACTTGTCTGCTACAATTGCTTGAGCTTTTTGATTTGCTCTGCCCAGTCATATATAACACCGTCGGTAAGTTTTGGTGTTAACGGGATCATTTGTAAGTACCCTCGATATTAACCCATATGTCTTCCTTCAATGACGTGGATTATGTGGATTGGTGAGGCGCCGCCTCGCTTCGGCTTGCGCCACATTGCGGGCGCATCGTTTGGCGTGTCCTGGTGCAATAAATAAGATGGACCAGGCTTAATAATGTTGTTCTTCTTGCCACACCATGCCAAAGAGGCGCACGCAACGCGTGGCGAGACTTTACGCTATTATTCAATCTCATTTATGTTTCCCTATATGATGCAGTTACAATAAATATATTCATACGGATTTGTATTTGCTTGTATTGAGGATAGGCGGGAGAGCGATATAAATACGGAAAAAGAGAAACCGCGTCACATGGCCATTTCGTATCGCGGCGCCCACATACCGGCTGGCGGCCGTACCTTTCCGACCGGCGGCCGTCCGAATACCGGCCGGTGGTCGTAGACTACGCGGCTGAGTGAAATCACCTGTGGTCCCACCAGCCGGCCGTCGAACGGTCGCCGGCCGGTGCGAGTGTCTGAGAACGTCGTGCATCTTTTGACGTGTAGAATTGCTTACTTGGTTACGGTAAGTGCACGGTGGGGAGTCAGTTTCTAGCATCATATCGAACGTAAAGGGTATTCTGAAAAATCGTGACAATGACGCAACCGCGCGCTACACGCACGCCACTCTCGGTAACCGCATTTTTTTCAACCTAGTCGAATGGTTTTTTTGCTTACGTATGATAGTATTTAGACACTGGAAGTGACTGAGGTGAGCATTGACGGGATGTCTTCTTGTACGCAACTTCTGCTCCTGCGGGCGCAAAGTCCGCAGTCAAATTCGTCATCAACATTTTATACACGACCTATACATCTTGTGAACGGCACACTAGGCTCGTCGACGACAATCAAAGCATTTGTAAAAACTATTTAAATACCATGCATCGAGCTGAGCTGGAACCCTTCCACTCTGCACCGGGATAAGGCGTTTCGACACATGGCAAATTCGGATGACAGTTGAGCGGTTCTTTATTCTTCACAAGCTATGAGCGCTAATGTTCGTACCGGGATTTCTTGAGTTTTTGCTACTAGCATAACGCGTGATGTAGGAATAATTCTACAATTCTAAACAACATCTGCAAGTGCTCTACTTTCCTCGTCAATAAGGAAAATCTGCACATCTTTTAAGTGAATTTGTTCTGCGCGTCTAAAGCGTATTAATCTCGCCCCTACTTTGCAACGTGAAGGCATCGTATTCGTAATGGCATCGATATTTTCATTTAAAGGAACAGTAATCACTTCAATTTTACATGGAAAAAAAATTTCATTCACAGAATTTGTTATGACACACGTGCGCCGAATTTTATTAAATGTAAGCACCATTATGCTCAATACATCGTTCCCATCGTGATACAAGTGCTTTTATCCCATCTTTGTAGAAATCATCATCGATAGAACTAAGAAACTGTTTGAAAGTCTCTTTGAGCTCATTTTCATCATGGAAGCGCTTATCCTTGATGAACTTATCCAAAGCATGGAAGAAATGAAATTCTGTGGGCAAGAGATCAGGTGAATGCGACGGATGAGGTAGCACCTCGACACCAAGTTCGTACAGCTTCTGCAGCGTTGCTTTGTCGACATGAGCTTTCGAGGTGTCGTAGAGGAAGATGGGACTTTTTCGGCTGGATGGTGCCGGCTGTTGAGTTGTGATTTTTTGATGGACTTGGTCCAATTCTTTCATGAACGATTCGGAGGTCAGCGCTTGACCCGGGGATTGGAAATTGTAGTGGACCAAACCAGATGCGGACCACCACACTGTGACCAGGATCTTGGTTGGGTGAGTATCAAACTCAGATAAGGTTTCGCTCGACTCGTCCTCGTCCAGCCACTCAGACGCAGTTCGTTTTCTGCTTTCGTAAGTGAGCCATTTCTCTCCACAGGTGAAGACCCGCTCAGTGAACGGTTCATGCTTATTTCGGAGAATCAGCGAAGAGCATAACTCCAGTCGAGACCTCAGGTATCGCTCCGTTAGCTCCTGTGATTCTTGGTTAGATACCGATGGTTCTTTCTTCACCCATTCCGACCCAGCCGGTTCGGTTTTCCTCCGCTTAGATAGCGAATTATTCCACATAGACGTGTACATCATTCCGGCCTCCTTCACCACATCTGACCAGGATTTCCCCTGCTGAGGCTCCATTAGCTTTTTCACAAAATCATCCAATCTTTCGGGAACAGAACCCGAACTGGAAGACCTTGGAATGCGCTTAACATCTTCAACGTCCTCATCACCGGCTAGAAATCTCGTAAACCACTCTCGCACCGTCCTCTCGTCCGGTGCATCGGCTCCGAATGATCGGCGCAGATTGCGGGTGGCGTCGGCTGATTCGTGTCCGAGCTTGAATTCATACAGCGACAGCAGGTGGAAGTCGCGCTTGTCCATTGAAAAAAAATTTTGACACCTAAATTCGGATTCCTTGAAGGCATACGCATGTAAAAAATGCTGATTCTAACACTTACCTTTTTTTGCTAATATGCTATTTCTGAGACGTGTGGCCGCACTAGGGAATCTGAATGGATTCTATCAACACCGTAAATTTCAGTGATTTTGATTAAATTTAAAGGATTTTTTGGAGTTTTAAAGGCAGCGTTCGGGCAGATTTGGACATTTTGGATACTATTATAACCGACGGCCGGAACTAGAACTATCGCACAAATCCGACTTTCGACCCCCTGCAAAAGGAGAAAATCGGAGCAGGAAAGGCCGAGCTCCGAGGACCACGCCCACTCCCTCGCAAGGCACGCCTTTTTGAACTAACTCTCCTCAGCCCTTGACGTGTTTTCACGCGTCGTAAACACAATCGAACGCATAGTGTTCACCTGCTAATTCTTGCTTTCGACAAGTATAGCATTAGGAGCACTCGTCCACGGTTCTTACAAAATTTTCTCAAAAATACGGTCTTCTGAGGATTTTACGCATTTTCAGTGCTAAACTTGGGAACAGCGTTATGAAAAGGCCCCTGGGTAAGGCAAGCAACAGAAGTCGAGATTCTGCCTTTGGTCGTGAGCGAGCAAGTTTGCAAAGTGTGGGTACATACAGTATGTTACAGAAACCCTCACGGTCCCCGTAAGCCAAGATGGGAGACGGTTAAGGCGCGAATTTTTTCGTCTAGCACTAACTAGAGGAGGACCCGAAGTCGAAGCCGGCTTTCCAATAGCAATATATACCATTCCGAAGAGCATCAAACGCTGACTCCAAAACTGTCTTGGTTTTTTGCTAAGCGCCTCTAGACGCAGCAGAAAACTGCGTGCAAATGTTACAAATTCGTCCAAGATTGCGCAAATGGCCCAGCGTTGGACATCAGAGCACTCTGTGCACAGGAAATTTTTTGTCTAATTTACTCGTAGTCAACGATTCTTTATCTGAGCGCTGGAAAGACCAATTGATTTACTCCAAAAACACTCATAAGTGCGTCTAGAGACGCTTGGGAAAAAATCAAGACAGTTTTGGATTCAGCGTCTGAAGCTCTTCAAAATGGTATATATTTCACTTGAAAAGCCTAGTCTTTGGGTCCTCCCCTAATGAGAAAGGCATAGAGAACTCTCCTTACAAGCACTTTTTAGAGGTGTCAAACGCAGACTACTGTGAAGCAAATTGCAGCTTAAGAACAGATATCCAAGAAATGGATGAAAAAGTGTAGTGCTTTGATGAAAGCGAAGTCAAAACGAAGCCTGTCACGATCTTGGGGTTTTTTTTATTGACGATGCAAACACAGAACAAAAAAGGGATGTGTGAAGCAAGCTCAATTTCGAACCTAGTACTAGCGGCGCAGATTTGGGCATGAGCTGAATGTAGTACTCGGAATGTTTCATGTCACGTGCTCCCTCGCGAACACAAATGCGAGGTTCGATAAATCAGAGCGCTATGATGTAATCTTGCATTGAATAGTGTTTTTTTTATTTTATTAGGCCTATCACCATTGCTTGTGACCGTTTCCACGTTGTTTACTGGCCAAGGAAAGTTCAAAACACTATGTATTAGGAAGTTCAACTGAAAGTTAAAATGATGGTCATTCTTGCAGTCTTTCCCTTAAAATATCATGATTACCCTTTGATATGCTACACATACGTACCGATCAGGTCTCGGCACAGCCCACCGGGTCAAACTGGATATCGTTTTTGGGACAAAAAGAGAGAATGTCGTTTTGTGGCAAAAGAAATAAAAACTGCGATGTTTTTTAGTCGGCATTTCGTTTCTTTTAGGGTCTTTTACGTTTAGCGTTAGGGTCAAAAGGGACTGCATACGATTTCAGATCAAAGGAAATTCGTTCTAATAATTTCCTTGGTGCCAGCTCATGCCGAGCCCTGGTACCAGTAGCAGACCGAGGAATGAGAGGCATTTTTTCGGAAATGGTCGCAAAATTTTTCAAGACTGTTTTACATGAATTGCAAAATTATGCAAGTTGGCTTTTCATTAAACGATTTGAGTGATTACTTTCATAATTTTTGACTACCTCTATGATATTTTTTTCGTAAACCTAGCTTCCGTTAAGCCTCCTTTTTTGGAATCTGGTAGTTATGAACAAAATTCTAGCGTTCCAAAGAATATCAGGTCCTCCACCGGAGAAATTTTTAGGACTGCCATTGTTAATTGTATGTTGTGCCCTCGCACACAAAGCTTGAATAATCGCCGATTATTGTTTTTGAAAAATTGCTTGCTGCATTTCCGTAAAGCTTAAAAATGGAGGTAAAACTATGATACCATAAACCAAAACTGTGATTATCAAGAGTGTATCAATCGCATTGTAAAATCTTACAAGGGAATGGTCAAAAGTCGAAGTGGCCAAACCAAAGAAGCTGTATGTCATTCGATGCAGTATAAAACGCTGACTTCGAAGCTGCTTCCTTATCTGCTTCCCGCTTCTGTGGAAAGCTACAAGCGATTTTATTGTAAAAAAATCATACATAAAAACAGCGAAATTGAGCACATTGTTGCTCTTATAGCTCAGCTTCTGGCTTCAAAAATTTGAGTAAGCTAGCTGCATGTTTTAGCCCAGCATTGAGGCGAACGAGGCTTTGTACGGCTAAATTTTCAATTTCACGCATAAATTCTAAGCAAAATAATGGTATTTAATGGCTTATAACTTCGTCCAAAAAAGCGATAAGCAGGTAAAGAAAACAGATTTAGAGTCAGCGCTTCATGCTGCATTCAACGCTATGCAGCTTGTCTGGAATGGCCACTTCGATTTCTGACCATTCCCTTGTTAGCAAAAAAGTATAAATGAAAGCATGAAAAAATCTGCGAAGTACTTGAAACTACATGTAATTGCTAATAAATGGCACATGCTGCTGACATACATATACCTGTTGCTCAATTATCAATCAAAGCTAAACAATCACATAAAATGAACTAGAGTAATGATTTTGATCCATTATGGTCTGAAGAATGGCAGTTATTTCTGAACCCGAATTCGCCAGCAGTACGCCGAATTTCCAATGCCGAATAGCTTACTTTGGTGAAAAGAAAATCAAAGGCAATACGAAACGCACTCACCTCAATATTACACTTTTCAGAAGTTGCAAACGTGGCCTTCGCTGCGGTTTGGCGCAAAGAGTTTACGGTCGTTTTGCTACTTTATGCATTGTAAATTTATGGTTGCGCTAGTATCCTGTAAATAGCAAGCTAAACACATATATCTAAACGAGAAACGGTCATATGACGAGAATGGGGGAGACATAGTGGGACCGTTGAGTGGGTTGGTGTATATGAGTAGGTTGAATTACAGAAAATGATGATGTGTTATCGAACAAGAAGGTGCATAAGTGATTTTTAACTTTCATCAGAGATTGTAGAAGTTTTTAGCAGAGATCTTCCTAAATGAATCAATTTGGAAGCTGTTTCGAAATTAACAAAACAACACTGATAAAGGTGCTCACTGTTGCTAGAAAATGAGTCCCATGGCAAAGAAAAATAACTATCACATGTTCGCATGAGAGACGACGTTTGACGGCGCACACTCCAATCCTAACGAAGTAATTTATAGTTCATGTCACAGAATGTTAGTCACAAATCTATAGTGTTGGAAATAAGTTTTGCAATTTCTTTGATGATCTTTCTTTCATTGAATGTGGCACACTTAAAATTTGGCAGTATATAAATCTCAATGTGTGCTACAACAATGCATAAACTGTTTGATTTTTGGATATATAAAACAGGCATTTTCGAAAACTCCTAGCCTAAATTCTCACAGATAGGACTTCTCATCAGATTAGTCCATCTGCAGGTAAGTCCGGACTTATCTGACAAAATAGGGCAGTTATAATGGAAAGAAAAAGGGCTTATCTGTAGGGCGGACTTTTCTGAACGGTCTTATAAGATTTTAGAGTAAATTTCGAGGATTTATGGGGATACAAGCAAAAATGAAGCCGTTCGCTAAACAGATCATGCACAATGATTCGAAATTGTATCAATTATTGCTAGAGGTTGACTCATTAAACAAAGTAGAAAAGGAACAAAATTGAAAGACGAGTCGAGTTCCGACTTTCATAAAGTTCAACGAAACGCTGTAAGTAATGCTGTAGGGACAACCATCAATGAAGGAGTCAAAACCTCAAGATCGTTCAAATTTCATACAGTGGAGTTATTCAACCTGGCAGACAATTATCTTATTCAAATTTATCAAATTAGAAAACCTCTTACCTAAATCTACAGTAACCTCACAAAAAACCCCGCCATGCATCAGTATGTTTTAGCGATCAGGATGTGGGATAACTACTCTGTACCAAGTTTCAATCAAATCCGTAATCCCTCATGATTTTCCCCTCATACCATATATCTACCGTAACCCTTCCTCACTGCGACGTCAGAATTTGTCCGAACAGCAGCTGCGCTTGTAGCTTACGTTATAATCTATATATTGGCAAAATTTGAGCGCGTCATATTCAACGAAAAAAAAGTTATCGAAAAAGTTGCAAAACTCAGTTTTCAACCGAACTTAGGAGATGCGCAAGCAAGGGTGATGACCCTGCACAATGAAATACATTATAGGATACTGGTTTATCAAAACTTATTTATTTGGAATAGATTTCCAGCTAATCATTCCCAGTCACTACAAGGTTTGCAGTTGAAAATTGCTTTAAACCTTGGAACTACCCTAATTATAACATTTTTGCTTTTTCTTAGAGATTGCTTAGAGGTGCTAGAATCCATATGTATAACAACAACCTTGACTGCAGGGGAAAGTTAATTTTTATGAATCAATAATGTGATGGAAAGCTATAGTCGAATAATAGATCAAATTTCTAAAATAATAAATAAAATTTCTATACCACCTTGGCATAAATTCAAACAATATAGTCAAATATATTTTCCGCATAATATGGTGTGCTTGCTGCGGGTAATATGCGGTAAAATCTGGCGTGAACAAATCCGGCATTTTGCGC